ACTAAAATGCTGTCCTGAGAAATCAGATTTTTTTTTAAGACAAGATATAATGGAAGATCCAGAAGAAGGGCAAGAAACTTTTTTTGGTTGTTGTTCTTTTAACTATATATGTTCCTACCATTCAAAGAACTGGATGTGCTAAGGTCACATATGATTTTTACAAGACTTAAGATTTAAGTACTTTAAAATAATCTTAAAGACACTTAAGAGCACACTGTATATTTAATTGTAAGGAACTATCATAATAGAGAATGTACAATAGAAATATTTGAGAATTATGACCTCCCCTGAGGAATCATACTCAGTGAGTCCTTCCACAGCTCACTATCATTCTTCCACAAGATTTTGAAGAGGTAGTAAAATCATAAACAGTAATGTACAATCAAAAATCCATATTTTAAATCTCTTTAAATATTAGCTCACTCTATCTAGAGAGAGCAGGCAAGATCTCAAGTTACAAATTAACAAAAAGCATCTCATAGAAAGTTCTTAAAAGCAAAAGGACTTTTAGAAGTTAACTCAAACTCTTTTCTAAAGATAAGCAAAAGCACTAAAATAAGAAAACCAGATAATATACTTTTACAAACCTACTCTAAATTAAAAGCAGTAATGCTGAGATAAGATAGGTGAACTCTCAGGAAAACAATAGAAACCAATGAGATAATCCCATCTGCTGGAGGGAAGAAATGCAAAAGGACTACACAGAAAGACATCTGACATCGCTAGAAGCGGTTTTTCTTTTTCCCCTTTCCTCAACTTCTGGCACAAAAAGCATGGAGGAAATAATTTTCTCGATGATTAAAAACTGGTCTCAACCAGACAGCAATGCTCAACATAACACCTTCCTTGGTTTTTACAGCTTTACACAGCAATAATTCTCACTTCAATCTCCAGTTTCAATGCAATATGCTGCGAATAAAAAAATAAAAAAATAAAAAAAAAAAAAAAAAACTGGGAAATGGTAGATTGTTATAAGATACATCAGGAATAAAATGTTATTACAAACAGATTAGTCCAGGGTGGAAATGACACAGGCTAAGCAGGAGGCATGGATAATCTGGGTAAGTGCCATGGAAAAATAAATATCATGATTGGACTTAAGGCAAATGGAAGCAGTTCAAATTGGCTTCCTCCAATTCACTGCAGAACATGTGATGCCCACATGTCCATTTCCAACAAACCTCACCATAAAGAAACAAAGGCCAATACTGTGAAGTGTTGAAAAACACATCTACCACCAGCTTCTTCCATACCACAGCAATGTGAATTATTGCAGCTGCCTGATAAGCATGAAAGAAAAAAGTTTGGAGGGTATTTGATTTTTTTTTTTGGGGGGGGGAGGGCGGGATAGAGCTACCAACATTCATCTGAAGCACATCAACCTATGAGTGTGTTGACCCTTGCAAAGAACAAATTTTAGAAAATGCAGATTGCAGTCTTACAGTGGTCTACAAGGCTCAGTGCATGGCTGTGGCCAAAGGCAGTAGTTCCACCCAGCTCACTTCCCCTGTCCATCTACATGCTCCTACAATGAGAAGTTCTAGCAGGCTTCTGTCAGGTTAACTTTTCAGAACATCAGTTCCTTTATCCAACTCCACGTGAGGCTACAAAAATGCTAATGCTTGCCTAACAGAAAGGTCAGGAACTCCTGGCTAAGGATAGGCTGTCTCTATATCCAGCAGCCCACACTTGAGTTGGCTTAAATTGATCATAAAAATCACAGCCTTACAGCCATGAGTGATCATGTCATTGCATGAATACAAGCAAAATCTTTGGTAAGGGTGGTCCTAGAGAAAGGACCCAAAAATCAGACATTCTCAAGGTTTAAGATTAGCTGTCTGGCAAAGTGTTGTTAACCTCCTTGTTAATAGAGCCAAGTATCAGCAGTAGACGAATTATGATCAAGTAAAAACTTTGCAGCGTAAGTGTTCTTCCACCAGAAAGAACTCTCACATGACAAACTTGAGATCATGGCTTGGTTAGCAAACACAGAAGATATTTCAAAAAAGATTACAAATTTTTACCAAAAAGCAAAATCACATCTACAAAACAGTGCCCATCTTTATGATTCCACTAGAGATGAGAGGGGGAGAGGGAGATTTAGAAACAAACAAAAATAATAAACACAGATACTGCATATGAAGACGAAAGACTGAACAGAGCAGTTAATGCTTTGAATTAAATCCAGACAGTAGTAGGACATAAATACTTTATCACTACAGGCCAGCATACATGCTGTAGTCAGTGGGGAACACAGGAATGCAGCTGTTAGGACATATCACTGCAGCTTCAGAGTAGGAGATGGCGTCTTGCTCTAGAACCACGCTGAAGCCCCCCTTAATTAGATCCACTATAAATCCGTAAATGCTCATCACAGCAGAGCAATCAAAGGCAGATGCAAACACTGTTAGCCACATTAACCCTGGTTACTGCACAAACTACTGCAACCAACATAACTGCTGGATGGGTTAGGTTATCCAGGTTTCAGTGAATTTTGACTTACCAGCAAATTCCTAGTTATTTCTAGTGGCTGTATCCCCACATTTTAGGGGAACCCAGAGTATGTTGGTATTTTTTCCTCCTTTAAAACTACCTGAAAACACCCTTCTTCAATAAAAACTCAGAGGAAATACAAAAGTTTCACTTTTCATCATTAGCAAAAGCACAAAAGGCCTCTGACATCAAATATGTGAGGCATTCCATAATTCTTATGTGAACAAAGCATTAAACTTACTAGGCTGGCAAGTAGCCTCAAACCAAGTATGACAACTTCAGGTTCTGCTGAACTTAGGTTTGCAGAAGAAGCAAGTGAAATAGCATTGATGACACTTACACAGCCAAATATACTAAAACATGAATACTTAAACAGAAAAACTTGTCTGTTTTTTTCTTCCCCCTACATGAAAATCCATTTTTGCACCCCCACTTCTCATTCTTTCCCAGCTCAAAGTAGTACAATTCTTTGGAGTAGCTAGAGTGTGGTTAAGCAGAGGAAGCTATGCTTGTTTGCATGGAATCTGCTATTTCCTCTCTGCCAAAACACTTGTTTAAAGAAGTCATGTAATATTTCTATTAAGCTGTAAATGCAGTTGACAAGGAAATGGCCTACTGGCAGTGCATTACCTTTGTGGCAGTGCCAACCAGCCTACAGCAAAATAGTGCACATGGTAATTTCAACATGCATTCCCAAGTAACAAAATTGTGCCTTACATAAATACCACAGAACTCCAGCAACATCTAGAAAAAGCAATGAAAAATTGCCCAAGCTTTCATGCTTGCCTGTATCAATTCTGTGTCATAACTAAAACAAAGTAGGAAAGTATCTACATATGTCCAAAAGTCCTGTGAAGCTATATCATATGACACTGGGAAAACTATTGCAACTTAAATCTGTGTATTTCTTGTTAACCACTGTAACAACTCACTAATAAAAATTAAGAAAAACTGTAGGTATCAAATATACAAAAGAGTACTAACTGCATACAAGCCCTTAAAAACCATAATGTAATTTATTAACAAGAACACATGTTCTATGTAATCTAGAATTGTTGTGTTAAATTACTTTGGCCTTTGATAGCATTCATTTGATTACAAGAATTAAACAGATTCACAAGCTTTCAAACTCTGTGACCTTTGATTTATAAGCAGCTATTATCAGAGAAAATTTTTTATATACATGACAACATAGTCCTCACCTCTCACCTTTCAACAGCTAGTGCAACTACATATGATACTAAAATGAACTCAGAGTTAATGAAGACATTTTCACTAAAAATAACCAAAACCCCCAGCCCGATCAAATGTATTTAATTTGTAATCAATAGTTCTTAAAAGTATTTTTTTAATGTTATTTCCTTTTAAATTAAATTCCCATCAACAACAAGATTCAAAGATACTTACTTCATTCTCAGCTTTCATCTGAGTATTTTCAGTTTGAATGGATAATTTCAAAATAGTTAATTATACAGGGGGAAAAAAAAAATATATGATGCAGAAGTACTATGATTTTATTCCAAAATTATGTAATGTTTCTAACTGCAAAACACCCACTAGCTTTAACCGAGCTGCACATTGCCATAAAACTTCAAGAAACATCTCTGCTCTGCAAAGCACACAAAAATCCAGAACCCAACAGCACTAAATACACTTGAACTCACATATGAATCACCTACAGTAATCATACATGAACAGTAGCTTCTCTTTCAACAATCGTGGCTACCTTACATTAAGATCCTGATACATAAGGCACCAGCAAAAGAAAACTGAATAATCTAGTATGCATGCCGTTTTTGCAGAAAATCACAAAGATGTAAATCTGCTTTTAGCAGTATAAAGTGCCTTATTAATACCAAATGGGCTTTAGATATAAACAGTTCAAGAACAGAGTATTTACTGACGCTCAGCTATTCTATAGCTCGTTTCAAGATGCATGACTAACAGTGGTAACAGTTATCCCTAGCAAAACATTGTTCCCCATGAACTTCTCCAAGTAATTCCTTTGCAGCTACTACTTTCCATAAAGCAACTAATTCTATTTACATTTTATTTTGCAAAAAGTAAACAATTTAGTAACAGAGTTTAAGAGTCAGTAATAAATAAAAATTGTCAAGGGTTATTAATATCAGCAGTGCTCACATAGAACAATTCCGAATTATTCTTTAGGTCATCTTTACTTCAAAACTCCCTTTTCAAAGGAGGATGCCTCTTGGTTACGGAACTCTCCAAGTACAGGTACAGTATGGAACAGGCTCTGTATGTTGCCTTCAAGTCAATTAAGCACTTATAGCTTCAGTTCTCCCTCAAGTAGAGATAAAAGCATTCTGAAATCTTACAGAGACATGTTAAAACAAAGGCAAACTGCAGTCAATAGGATGCAAGACAGCAAGTCAAAATACTTATTCTTAAAAATCTTTCTCCATAAACATACAGTTTTATGATTCCAGTCTTAGGTTTTTGATTTTTAATACAACAAACAAGGAAACACCACCACACACACTTACCCTCATTGGATGAATATCTGCATACGGAGGTTTTCCTTCAGCCATTTCTATTGAAGTGATACCAAGGGACCAAATGTCTGCCACGCAGTTATAGCCAATTTCTTGTATTACTTCAGGAGCCATCCAAAACGGAGTTCCTATAACAGTATTACGTTTTGCCATTGTATCCTGTAATTATATTATTTATGCAATTAAAAGTGATGCTTGTTTTCAGATTCTTTTAATATTAATTCTATATTTAAAAGTTAAATTAGCCACCCAAAGGTTAAATGGTAGTGACTTCCAGTTAAGACCAAACAGATGCGGCCCATCTGCCTATAGAGGCCGAACATGTGACAATGACCATAAACCTCAAACGGAAGTTTAAAGTGGGCTCATCAGGCACTTAAAGTACACTGGGTTATAAAAATAAAAAACTAAAAACTAGATAGCCTTACAATACACTAAATACTCATTACGATAAAGAATGTTAGCCCTACCACTAGTCACTCCTCAGACACAAAATTCAAGGCATAAGAAAAGCAACATGGTTAGGAGCACTAAAGCATTTTAAAATTATCTTTCCACAGGTACTTACTGTTAACTGGCCAGCCACACCAAAGTCAGCTAACTTTGCATGTCCCTCAGTATTAAGAAGGATATTTCCAGCCTTTATATCTCTATGTATTTTTCTCATAAAGTGCAAGTATTCAAGTCCTTTGAGAGTAGATTTCAGAATAGTTGCAATTTCATCTTCTGTTAGCTGCAAGAAAACATAAAACCATTTTCAGGTATACACATAGAGTCCATATATTTGAACTATTTAAAATGTGATCATTTCATAATGATTATTACAAATAATACTGACAACATACCTTAGTTATTTTACACAGGAATACGCCCAATAGCATTTAGAGTTCAAAACTCCGACCTACTAACTTGATCCATACTGCTAGATTCTTACAAGTCTATAGAGCCCAATCAGAGCAAGCAAGCTTCAAAAATAGAGAAGGGACAGATTTATACAGATCAGATGGCAGAACATGCAGTATTCTCCTGCCTGTCAATCAAAAGTTACTACTCTTTAGATGTTGACATCCTTCATCAAAACAAAGGTAATGGTGGCCACCATTAAACTAGATGGTACATACCAGAACACTTCCCTGGAAAAAGATATAGCCCTTTCTCAACTGGGGAAGGCTGGAGCTATTCCTCAAACATCCATGCCCTTAAGTTCATTACACAGTTTGCCCAACAAACTAGCACAGTCCTACATTTGGAAAGAGATAAAAGGAATGCCATGTTTTCTTTATTTCTCAAATTCCAACATACGAAATGCCTGCTACGTCTACAATTAGTAGACAATTAGCAGTATCAAGCTTTTGTCCACCAGTTATTTCTAACCACAATACCATTAGTTTCTCATTGCCAGCAATTTACAAGTTAGAGGGGATGAATTAAGAGCTTCTCCACACGGGGGTGGGGGGAAACACCACAAAAAAAAAAAAAAAAAAAAAAACACCAAAAAACACCACCCACAACTACACCAAAAAAAACCTAACTCACACAAAAAGGAAGGGATAAAGGTGTACAGAAAATAGCCAAATAATTATCACAAAGCTTGTGAAAAACATATTTGGCAGGGAGACTACTTGCTAGTTATTATCTGTAGGGAGATAAAACAGCATGCACAAATACAAACACCCAAACAGTTCCCAGCTAGATTACAGAATTTTACTGAAGTCTCTCAAGTAAGATACTCTTTAGAATCATAGAATGGTTTGGGTTGGAAAGGACCATAAGATCATCTAGTTCCAAATCCCTGCCATGGGCAGGGACACCTCGCACTAAACCATGTCACCTAAGACTCCATCCAACCTGGCCTTGAACACTGCTAGGGATGGAACATTCACAACTGTGCTCCATACTGACACAAAGCTGTAGAGTTACACGCATACAGATGTGCCCCAATGACCATCCCCAAACCCTACTCAGGCCTGAAAACTAAGCTCTACCAAATAAGATGTCAGGGTATTCTTATGCCAATAAGTATTATCATTTGTTCCTTTAACTGCAAACAATTACAGAATGGATTCCAACCAGGTACTACGGGCTTTTTCTTACACCGTTCTTCTTTTCTTGTTGCCAAATGATGCAGAGAATGAATGCTCTCTGCATTTTTGGGTTCTTTTTAAATTACCTGCACTCAACAATTGCTAGATTATATCCTCATAGGAAAATACAATCAGATCGAATACATGGCTCTTCAATTTCAGCCACAAATACCACATTTTTTAAAAATATCTACTAACAATGTTGATTAGTTTGCTGTCTAGGCAAAGGTTTCCTGTTAGTTCTTAAGTGTAGATAACACACATGAGCTATAATATATCATGTTACTATCACAATATGAAAACTGTACCACTGAACCAGCAGAAATCTTAACATAACTGGCCCTAAATATATTTTATAAGGCATGTCACGTTTTAGTAAGCACAGCTACCACTATGTGAAGATAATGCAATATGTCAGCCTGCAACCTTCAATGTAGCTGCGGCCTGTTCTGGTCTCCAAAAAAACAAGTTCCTTTACATAACATTTACCAGTACATAATACTATCTTCTACAGCCATGCTGAATTTTTAAGAGGTTTCTTTATGTTCTTTACTGATAGCATGGCCTTTGGTTACTTCTGAGAATTAAGGCAGAATAGTTGAGGTTCTTGAGAACTTTAGAGTTCCCAAAATCAAAAATACATTTTGCATAGTATTACCCAGCTCTCCTTCATATCATGTTCACTGTCTACTCTTCAATCAGGATGAACAGAAATGTACTCTCAAATTAGTTAAGTAACTGAATACAGACTGAGAAACATAACTGCTAATCTGAAAGAACTGATAATTCCTGAATTTGAATTGAAAATTTAAAAAAAAAAAAAAACAAAAAAAAATGAAATTTTTTTGCAGAAAATTGCAACAGGGGTATTTATTGAACTCTGTACATGCATCACAAAGGAAACACTAAGAACTCTTTAACTTGACTTTTTAAGCAGACCAGACAAACTTCAGTTTTAAAGCTTAAAAAACACCTCAATGATTAACTAAACGCCCACTATAAATAAAGCGATGTAGACTGTGCAGTCCAAAATGCTTGTCTTATTTACTACTTGAATATGCTGCAGGATTCATGTATTATCACAAATGATACAATAAGCTGCAGATATCAACTAGCAACAGGATGACAGACATTTCATTACCAAAGAAAATACAATGGGGGAGGAAATATATGTTTTCATTTATGTGTTGCATAAACTACATGGACTACTAAGTCATCAACTACCACAGTTGTTTACCTTCATTACTCTACATCAATGCTATAGGAACACACGCTCCTGAACAAGTGTTATTAGAGAAACAGCTAATCTTTTGCAGGTACCAGCCCTCCCCCCGCCCCCAAGAATACTTCTCAGATTTTCATCAACATTTATTCTAGAATGCAAGCAAAAAAAAAATAAAAAAAATTAAAAAAAAAAAATCACACACACAATTCATTCCATGTGATGCAATTTCCCAAGGAAATACAAAGAAACTATTCATGCAACTGAAACACTGTTCAGTTACGGCACATCAATGCTTTAATGTAAGAGCTAAGCAAATGAACTTGACACATTTTTAGAAATGCAAGAAACTGCAACACTGAAGATAAATACTCTAATTTGGCTGCAACACTGGGTGGCATTTTTCCCCTCTTTCTCTATTTTTCCAATTCTACACAGAAATTAAATTAAGCAATAGCAATTCCTTCCAGTTTCAGTTTTGAAAGCGCTGGTACACATCCGCACCTCTCTCCAAAAAACACACTACTAAAAGCCCACAAGAAACAAAAAGCCCCACTCACAGTCACTCTAAGCCAACAAAATGACTCAACAGAAAGGAAAAAATGATTAGTCAGCAAGATTATCTGTACTTGAGTTGCTCATAACAAGTTTTAATTATTTAACAAGCAGAACCACTTCCCTATTCCCGCTTCCATCCAGTCTCATAAAACCTGGGCATGGAGCCCAAGGGCACAGTTACACATACATTTACTTAAACAGCAGTGCCAAGCTCCAATCCCTCATTTCACTGCAACCTATTGCAGTAATTCCCACCGTGTGTCGGTCCTTCCACTGAACAACTGTGACCCTCGTTAAAAATAAAACTGTCTGCCAAATTATTTTTCCCAACGAATCAGTTCCTTGATTCGATTCACGGCACAGTCAGTAAGGATGCAGCAGAGTAGGAGCTGCTCAAATTGGCACTGCTTTCCAAATAAGTTCATGTGTTGCTATGCCCACAGACCTAGTGACTTTTATAAACCTTCCCGTACGCAGGCAGAGGATAAAACTGATGGTGGCATTAGCTCCACACTCCACAGCAAGCAGTTACCGCCTCTGCTGCACATTATGCATTCCTTGCCTGCCATTTATCTCCAAGATCTTTCAGTGCTCCTATTCAGTGGCACACTGCTCAAAGATTTTATTTGTGCTACTTTATGCTGACTGCTATGCTGCTTCCAAGGACTGTATGCTAGGAAAACTGAAAACCCTGTTACACACAGCACAAATATGATGTCTTTCCCGGCATTGCGCCAGGGGCATAAAACCATCAATCTGGAGTCAAGCAAGAAGAGACTTTAAATCAACTATAAGATAAACTGAAGCATGTGACCATGGATATATAGGATACTGAGAGAATCATACAATCCCCAGCATGTGAGTTAGTAATTTTGTGAAGTACACAAACTGTGATTATCTGAAGACTCACACTACAGGCAATTTAAGCTCTGGCTATTAACAAATACTGTATCATGAACAGTTTATGGCATGCTGAGTGTAACACTTTCTGACAGAGCTTTGCCAAATCCACCCCAGTTCAGAAACAATACAATGTCCTGAATCTCCAAAGACCTTCATGCAGTTAAACTTCAACATGAACCAAAAAACAATCCCAAGCATTGATAACTTATTACCTGCTTTCATCTAGAAACAAGTGTGAGAAATTGTGATTAGAAGGGTCCTCAGAGAAGGTCTCTCTTTAGTAAGTTGTGTTCCTAATGAGGTTAATCCCTAGCTTTAGTTCTTGAAAAATTAGTGGTTAAACCACATGGAGATCTTTGGATTAGCTCTGGATAGAGAAGTGGTTTCGCAGCTGCATGCCAGACTCCAGCTCTCAAAAGGAGAGAGTAACAGAACAACCGTACCAAAAGGTTGACAAAGAAGCTATGGCCTGAGAATCCAGCATACCAGAAGAGAGTGAGTTCTAGAGTACTGCAGCATGACACACCATCTGGGGACCATCAATAAGAAAAAGCTGTAGCATGGCTACATGTTACAAAAGTAAGAAATATTTAAGTATTATCAAAATGCACAGAGTGGTCAGAGAAGCCCATAGGAGTGAATGTCACCTGTAAGAAGTAAAGGGAGAGCACAAGTCGTGTTTATCGGGAACATACACGCTTATAATCATCATCTGTATAACCTAATGCAGTCACTCCTGCTTACATTATTGCTACATGCATAATAATACACAGAGACAATGTTTAGCTTTAATGTCTTGTAATATTTAGGACAAAATTAATTTCCAGCCTTACTCAACAAGCCAGGAGAGTACACTCACCTTCCCTCAACAAAATTACCTTCTCAGAAAATGATGTACTGCCATATTGAACACTACCATGCAATCACTTGATAATGTTTTTTGTGCAGTTGAAGCTCTGTGCAGAA